AATGTACACACGGACCCATGTCAAAACGATCGATGAATAGAACCGAGAGATCGAGATCACGTTGACCTCCGCCCTTTCCGGTGGACATCCGCTCTCTCATCCAGCTTTCCATTCTCCCGATTATTCCCCCGGGGCGGAAAAGAAACGCTTTGGATCCGTAGATGCTCGTGATAGGTCGAAAATCCGTTTATAATTTAATAATAGCGCACGGGGGAACCGAAGGGTGTCCCGCTCGGTGGGGCCGTACCCACGAATTCTTCCCGGGTGTGCACGTGAATGCGTGTCACCTTTATGCGTAATAACGTATGATGACAGGGGACCGAGAGGCCATTGTCACGCCTGTTTAGCGGCGGACGTGGAACCGGCCACGGGGCTCGTCCATCATTTGTGCGCGTACTTACGTGCACGGACAACAATCGCACGAGCCCTTACCACCCGAAAAATCCTCGCGAAAAATGGACCCCCGATCGCGCGAACGTTCGACGACCACTTCCGCGAACGATCCTCCGGAGCACCTTTTTGTAGGGATTTCGGTGAATGGGAACTGTGTATGGTAAACATATTTTTGTTGACACATATGTACGTTGTTTGGTACAGGCATCGTTCCAAAGTTAGGGGGGAGTGGGTAGGTTTGGGCTAGTTTTTAAGGAATTTGTTGTAGGGATTAAAATGAAAGAGAAATACGCTTTAAATTTGAAGAATTGTAATTAGTATGGTCTTACCATAAAGTTTTTACTGTACTAAAAAGAATTTTAATTTGTATGTTACATCTATTATTATTTCCTTTTATTGTTCCCAAGGAATATTTAAAAGTATAACAGATTTAAAATTAGTTATTTGGCCTATACCTCTCTTATGGGGGAGGTTTGGGTCACATAGTGGGAATAAATGGGTCATTGAATTTTCGTATTGTAACGTAAAATTTTCGTTATTAACCTTTAAATGCGTGTCGTTGCAAAACTGCAACAACCGTTCAATTCGTTGTAGAATTATCACGTTCACGGACATTATATTTTATCGACTGATAACACAATTCTTTTTTGTGAATGTCACGTGTCACTTTTGCTTTGACAAAGTGAAGATTCTCGGAAATTTGTTGGATGTCAGAATTGCAGTTTTGTTTTGCTGTGTAAAAAACTGATTTTTTAAGGTAAGTACATACAATATGGTAACAGCCCTTTGCCTTACTAAAGCCAAGAATTGTTTCAGAGATAAATTGTAAACATTAATATCGGGTACATGCATGGTGTTTTTTTCCTTGCATTAGCATGTCCAAGTCTACCAAATATATTTTTTCACGAAAAATAAATCATGCATTTAAGGGTTAAAACTATTCATGTCCAAAGACCATTAGTCTAGAAGATATCTCAGTTTCAATATTCGGAGATGGTACTCCATTTCGGTGCATCTAGCACCTACGTGTAACATCTAACACTTAATGCCTACATGTCAACAAATTCCGAAAGAAACACCAGAAAGGCTTGATAGTCCATATGTATTTATGCTGCAGAACGTAACTTTAGCTCTAAACAACCGAACACGGTATCGATCGATAACCTATTTAAATTTAACGAACGAAGTAAAATTAAATCAAACCAACTAGCTCGTAAAACACTTGAAGACCGCGCCTTTCAAGTAGAATCGATCCCTTAAAAGTGTCCCACATTTTGATTAACACCCTACATTTCTCTAATGGTAAATACCTACTAAATAAGTGAAAATAGCAAACCATTCATGCGTCGTCGGTTTAATGTCCATATTTCAGAGACGATACGAAAATAATTGGAGATACATCGACGGTCTATCGTTCACGTTCCGTCACTGAAATTTAGACGTAGCGTGGGAGCAATTTAGCTGGAACAATATTCCTGTCCGGCGTTCGGTCGCATTTCGGCGCAACGCCTGCGGGTTACAAGCATGCGTTACAAAGCAGCTCTCAATAATTGCGCATCGACCAAATAATTTCATCTCGCCCCCCTGTTGAAGCGGCCGGCCCCATTGTTGGCCACGGCCGGTAGCCCGTAACAGGCTCCATAATGCTCCTCCCGCCGTGACCTCGAGCACTTGTTCAATCACGCTCCGACGCCGCTTAATTAATCATGTAAGATCGAAGTATATGGCCAGCATCGTTTCCGACGGCCCAATTATTCATATCTATAATCATGCATAATCGAGCGCGTTTAGCCGAGCATAAAGATGAAAAGGTGACAGTTTTTGCTTCCGCGAGCAACTCTGAATTTTCTGCCTGCAACATTCTAACAATCATTACATAAACCTTGTCTTGCCAACGGGCGTAAAAAAAAGTGATTTGTAATTGATGAAATACCGCAACGTGGACTGTGTACGGTTTTTAATTTCCTTGTTTTTGTGTAAGTTTATCTACGATCCCATTACTTCTCAGTGGTTATTAAAGACTTTTTTAAGTAGTTGGTGCTCATTTAACAAGAAATTGATACATGTTACTTTATTTCCTCTGTAAATACTGGGACTACTGAAGTACGTAAGCTAATCGACTTCCTTGGAATAATTCCGAAAGTTCGTTGTTATCGAAATATTTAGATTTGTAGTTTTCGAATGTAAACCCTCAATATGTCACTATGAGGACGTTTCGCCCAGACCCTTAAATCCCTATTTCAAAATTGTGATACTAATATACATATGTTGTACATTGTTATTTTGAAGTCGAAAATATCGATACTAAACCGACTTAAATTTTTTTATTTTATTATTTATTTTTGAAGGAAATCTTGAATTTTGAAATTAAAAATGTTCACACCTCCTTTACTATAAGTGCAATTACGAATCCTACCTGATAAAAGTTAGAATATAGAATCTGACGCACTTTTAAAATAAGTGTTGGCACGGTGCAACACTGCAAGTAAAACGGTTAAATCGACATTAAAGTAGCAGAACATCCAAGAAGTAAATCGATCGGTTAGCATTATTCCCTGAAAGTTGACTTCGATAACCATATATTTATCGTATCCCTCGGGGACGGTCTAGATACAACAAGGATTCTTGGTAGTAATGAAATTTTCACATCTGACTGCTGTACAAATTTCAGGCTAAGGCCACTTTATATCCTAATGTCGATAGTCTCCGGTGCTCACTTTGCCCCTCCCCGTCAAAGGACCGTCAGTCTCAGGAGCACGATGCACCGGGCAAATAATTCTCCTCTCAAACGATTCCATCGATCGTCCACCCCCGTACCTTCATTCTCTGCCGCCATCGTTTCTCCATCTTTTTCAATCGCTTCTCACCTCCGTCTTTCTTTTCCCTCCTCTCACCTAAAATAGCCACGTAATCGCTTCCACGTTCTCCCACAAAAGCGCCCAATAAATCAACGAACAACGATCCGTTCGTTCGTTCCCTCAATCAGCGGACGGAACGGTGCGCCAGAGCCGGAATAGTATCGATATTCTTGAAGAGTCGGGGTTGGGATCGCCATCGTCATCGTTTAATGGTCGATTAACTCGGTCATTGAAACACTCGTTTGATTTACAAGTGAATGCAGTGTGTTACCTCTCTATAAGCACGCTTTGAGGACCTATTTTATGACCGAATCGTCAACCTTTTCTTTTTGCTGCTGACTCACTGATGGTCGGTGGGAGTAAGAATTAGTAGACTGCATTTGTAGACATTTTTGAGTTGTCATTTCACTTTGACTTGCGCAGAATCCCGAGCAAAACCGGTCAGAGATACAAAAGAATATTAAAATAACACAACAAATTTCGGCACAATTTCACTGCACTTCAGAAGAAATAGAACGTAAGTTGCATGATTCGAAGAATCTAATATCATACTATATATTACAAGAATTGAAAATGAAATTACAATGGGACTATAACTGATGTAAATATTTTTTTGTTACTTTCCTTACTGTAAATATTTTACCGCTGCCAAATTTTTAATTTCTTTACTTTCTAACACACAACACAGTCTTCGCTCATTTATTGTATACGTCATACGGAAATATTAATTACATATGTATGCATGCATACTGCTATGTATTTTCGTCAGATAATATCGCAAAATACTGTTTGAATTCGTCCTTCCCTTTAAGAGTTGTGTAATTATTTCAGTTTCCGCGATACAAGGAAAAGAAAACGTTCTCAGAAATGTTTTCTTCTCGCGAAACTGTCGAAGTATCAAATATATTATACAAAATTATCAAGGATGTTTATTTTTTAATAATAAGCAACACGTATAAGTAACGTTTTGCTAGAAATCCACGAAACCCAAAGACTATTAACTAAATTCTATTAGAAAAATATAAGGTTCTTCCAATGTTAAATGGGTAATTAATTATTTCCTGTCACAAAACATTTGAAAATAGTTTCCTGAAAAATTTTGTTTCCTTCGTTGTGTGTCACTCTTCTGGAAAACCGACGACATACTTCGAGCGTGAAACAGCTACTTACGAGGTCTGACAATAAAATTATAGGACTGGGCTCTGTGTAGGCAGGTTTTACTCTTCATGACAATTTACCTGGGATGCTTAGGAACTTGAAGTGTCCTCTATCGAAAGAGTCTAGTCCCATTGTCTTAAATTGTTTAGCCTGGTTTTTGCAGTCGTTAGAAGCCATCAACTTGAAGTGTCTTACGAAACTCAAGAACAACTCTGACAGAATCTGTTCAACTATTGAAAGACATTTACGAGGTACTTTCAACATTATTTTTGATCGTCAATAACCGTGTAAGAAAAGTGAAACTCTTTTAAAATATTCAAAACACTGAACATATTTTACAGTAACCTTGGTAGTTGGAATACAGTTAGTCTTCTTCATTTTATTACTTGGAACCCTAAAGCTCCAACCTCTACGCGGTCCTGACCGCCGCTGCATCAATCGGTGCGTCTACTACACGTGTTCATTCGCGACCAAACTATAACTCGGCCTGGGACTGTATCACTCCCCACTTAGCCATCTGCATAATCATTGCATTATAATGAACATATAAAACAAGGAAATGCATAGCCACTTCATTCTCGGTAAGAAACACGTTCCTAGCCGGTGACTCTCCAGTCAGTTGTCAGTTTTCAAGAATAAGTCACGACTACGACCTAAAGTCAATTTCTGTTTAACGGATCAATTCAAAGGTGTACACACAAGACGATAATAGATTGCAATCATGGGTCTTACGGATGTTTATCATCACTATAACACAGAGCTCGCTGGTAAGTTACGAGACTCGACATACTCTGGACGCAATGAAATGTTTAAAGTTAAATAGCAATCACAAATTCTGGCTTTGATTTCTTGACATTCATTCCGAAATGAATTTCCTGCTATTCGCGTTGCTTTAGATCACCTGTAGATGAACAAGCGGTTCGGTGCAGGTAGATCTCGAAAGGAATAAGTTTTTTAAATGCCTGACAACATCGCGATTGTGTCATCGACACCAAAAAAAACACATCATATTATATATCAAACAGTCATATGGTAATCTCTTGACAGATTTTCTAGTGTCAGTTTGAACTATATAGCTTTTTAGTTTCTTGTTCGTTTCCTGTGAGAAATACCGACGCAACGTACGAATAATCCCAAAGTTCATTTTCATTACGTTCGATCAGACTTGTAGAAAAAATTACACTACTCCGACTGGGAAATTCTGAAGCATCCAATTAATTAAACTTTATCCTACTAGACGATTATTTCTTTAGATCGTTAGAATATTTTACAATAAGAAGGCACTTCGAAAATAAAAACCGTCTTAGAAGCAAGTTGAAGAGCTTTTTCTTAGCCAATGTAATCTAGGTTGTATACATATAACTAGTATTAAAAAATGGAAAGAAATTGTATAAAAAATTAGCAACTAAGAATATGGATATAAATTGAAACATATAGATAATAACTCTGCTCTTAAGAAGGCTGCGAAAAATTCATTTCCATACGTTTACGCAAGACACGAAATGAAATAAATTATTTAATGTTCGCTAGTCAACACGTGCGAATATTTCATAAATATCTGTATGTTACAGACAAAATGACGAATCACTGGGCACTGATCAGTTCACCTGTACTTGTTACAATATTCTCCATTCTCTATTTGTACTTTATTTTGGATTGGGGCCCGAAATACATGAAAGACAAGAAGCCGTATTCATTCAAAACATTTATCTTTTGGTACAATATATTCCAAATAATAGCCAATTCTCTAATAATACAACAGGCAATTGCTGCCGGATGGTATAGCGACGGATATATGGGCTGTCCTGAAATCGATTATTCCAATGACTACAACATATACAAGGTACGAGGGAAATATTCATCTTTGTATCGATAGGGATCCTATCACGTAACCAGCCGTGATTGAGACACCAAGTTTATTTTGTGGCCGCTTTCAGGACAATATACATTCAAATTTCAACTGGAATGGATTTTATGACATAAAACGCCCCACGTCAATATTTTCATAAGACAATATTTAAATAAAGATTACGTAAATACGCGTCGTACGTTATTTTTCGGAATGTTTTGAAGAATAAGTTAAAACACGAACGGTACAAATGCAGTTTAATAGATTCTGTCTTTTATTTTAAACGTAAAATGCCTTTAACAAGAACAAGAACTTTCAGCGTGACGTTTGTTCCTATGAATTATTCTTTTAGAATTAAAAGTTTAATATAAATTTGATATAAATAGAGATAAACAGTAATCGGGTAAACATAGGTCTACAGTGCAAATTCTAGACTCCAGATCATAGATAGACTTGGTAAATGCTTGACGCGTGTCTCATTAATTTATAAAGTTGAGAGGCCTGTAATTTTGATGTCTTTGGTAATCATGATTAATTGTGCACTCACGATTGAGCGTCGAAACAAATGAAAAGTGAGACTGCAATATTAGAAACTGAACAGAATAAACTTTGTAGTGATATCGATATATTTATCAAACAGCGAAAAAATTTGCTCTCAGGTTATAATTTGTATGGAGTAAATACGCGTGGTGATATTTATAATGATATGGAAACATATTTTCACGATATTATCTCAAGGAAATGAAATAAGGAAAAGTGGCGGCAGCGATTCCATTAACGCTAATCCGGACTACATTATCACTAGTATCGACTATACTAAATAATAATATCGTTTACAGATGGCTAGCACAGTATGGTATTTGCTATACATGAAACTTATCGATTACATTGAAACTATATTGTACGTATTGAGGAAGAAGAATCGACAGATTTCGGCCTTGCACGTGTACCACCATGTTTCGACGATGTACTTTACCTGGTTAGCGGTCAAATACTATCCCAATGGACACGCAATGACGGTTGCTGTGGTTAATTGCGGGATACACGTGATAATGTACACTTACTATCTGCTGGCCTCCCTTGGAGGAAACATACAAAAATTAATCGAACCATTTAAACCATTTCTTACCCTTGCTCAAATGGTAAGTAGATAAATGTTCCCCAAACTACTAGACCTGCCAAGGTAATCAAAATGTTAGCACGGTAATTTCTCTATTTCCCGAATGCATCGATGCATGTTCCGATATTTCGTACACTTTTCAGTGCAAACTCCAGTTGAGAAAAATCAATTTATTAATTTATACTATAATCGATATTTCTGTTGTCAAAATATTCTACAACAATAATTACTATCCGCATGGAGTTTATCTTATCCATACGTTTGCTTCTCCGATATTTTCTACTGATTGTTTCTCGTTTACCAACAGATACAATTTATAGCCTTGATAATGTACGCGTTGCAAGCCTTCCTACCCTACTGTTCGGCGTCACGTCTCGGAGCAAGTCTTATGATCGCGGATTTGGCGATCAATTTCGGGATGTTCTTCAATTTCTACATGCAGAATTATATGAAGAAAAATAAAAAAAGTATAGACTAGAATCATCCCGATATTACAATTCTTTCTCTGATCTCAATCATTAGTTCATGAAACTGTTTTATAAGAATTTCATAAATATACTATTTATTATTCATGCGTCTCTGAATCACGAAAAACGTGCGTGTCTCCGTCGTAATTTCCACCCAACAATCAACAATCCCCCTCCAATACACTTTCATCCCTCCATTCTCGTTTGCGGTCACGAGCATTGTCAGCAAAGTCCATCGAAAACCCCCTTGGCGATAAACGAGCATATACAGGCCACGGCTAAATGGTCTCGTTGGCACAGTCTTCGTGGCCGCTTCCGGTCGAGTGGCGTGGGGGGGGGGGAGGGGGGAGGGAAGGCGAACACTTAACCCTACCATCAGGGGCAGCAGGCCGCCCCCTTTGCACGTGCATAAAGGCGAAGTGAGCGAGTACGAGATCCGTCAAGTGATGGCTGCCGCTGCATATGCCTCTCCTCTATACGAGCCCTCGCATTCTCCCTTCTTTTCCCTCTTTCATCGAGCCTTTACACCGTCCCTCCTCTGTCACCCCCTTCGCCGCCCGGCGTACTCGCCGATTCATTCTTTATCAAGCTCGACACGGGGCGGCCTCCCTCGCCTTGGAACTGTAGGCATGCCCGTGCGCGCCCGTACACGGCTCGCGAAAATTGAAAAGCCCTCAGCATGCTTTCCGGAATCAGCCAGGTGTTGCCCCCGACGATCGACAATGCACACGGGACCTCGCTGTTGTAACATCGAAACACACCAGGCCGTTACGCTCTCTCTCTCTCTCTCTCTCTCTCTCTCTCTCTTCATTCATCCCCCTCGATTCACTATTTCGCTCTGTCTTCGCGTACTCCTGCATTCGAATGAAAATAGCCCACTCCTTTTAACCCTCCGAGCACGGAAACATGGTCACCGGTGCCTATGTCATTTCTGACCCCACACCGATATTCTACTACTACACAGCGACGATGAGACTCGAGCTCGAGGCCCTCACCGATATTACTACGCAGTGGCGGTTGCTCGAGCTCGAGCTCGAGCCACCGTCACCACGTATACAATGGAATGATTAGCTGGTTCCATATTACATTTGGATTTCCGTGGTTCTTATTACACTAACTGGAATAAAAATCTCGTGAATTATAAAACAAATTATATTTATTAGTCAATACTTCTGCGGTGTCTTCGCCCGGTCGTTCGCATGTAAACAAACATCGGTCGCTATACGATTTACACGACAGCTCCGTCACTGCTTGCGTGGCGCTCTTGAGACCGTGCCCCCACTCCTGACTCTGACACTGTGCGCGTGTCGCTCTCGCTCTCGTGTGACTCAGGGACCGTGCTCGGAGGGTGAACGTGTGGTCCGCGCTCACGGCTTGTTAACGTGTACACTTGAGTTAATGCCCCCCTCCCTCCACATTGCAGTAACGCGGAACCGTTTCTACTTGAGGAATATGTATCGGAGTTGCCGATCCTCATTGTTCGTTGACATCTTTAAAGGCTCCCACAAATCAACGCAAAGTATTCGCAGCGGCAGCGAATATTTCGCGGCGACAGATTTTTTATAGATAAATTTTTGCGGAAATTATTTGCGTTGGTGTGAAGTCTCATAAGACGCCATAGATAGTATCTAACGGGGCGCGTGTTGGAGATATTTTTGCGGTGTTTTAGTTGAGTATCCTAGTTGTGAAAAATCAGAAATGATGTAAAATATTTTCTTCTTATTGAAGTTTTAACAGCACTACATTTATCCATTTACAGTAGCAACATATTATCGTAAGTAGTATCCTCAATTTTTTTTAGAGTTTTTGGTAGGGTGCGTGTTAGTTCAAAAAATCAAAAACCAATTTTTTCCGTGAAAAAGTAACCTAAACTTTAAATATTTGTATTTCCTTTATTACAGAAGTCTATTATATGATTTCACGTGTTAGCTCTTGGAACCTAACGCTGTTTTTTGTATGTATGTATGCATATACTAGTTCTTAGTTTCGTATAACACGAGTTCGCATAACATGGTCATTTTTAAGTACCTAATCATCGTATTATACTGTCGGTCACCTGTAGTTGGTTTAGTTAATGATCAAAATGTATTTATAAATGTATAATGCAGCACGTGGAATAATTTAGTAATCTTGATCCTGTTGATTTAGCTCATTTAAGATATAGAGTAAATATTTATTAATACAAATATTTTAGGGGTACCTAATGGTTAAATTGTTCGACAATTTTGATACGGTTGATCGTGACACAAAGTAATTTTAACTGCTTCTGTAACTTTTATCGTGCGATAAAAGCCGCGTGTACCAGTTTTTGTCTATTCTCAATTTACAGAACAGAAAATTTATGGAGTAGGCAAAAACAGAGGATTAAGTAACTACGGAGAAAAACTCGATGAATATTATAGTCCTTGTGTAATCTTCTGGAATGCGTGAAGCTGTCGTTAAGACCAACATGGACGTAAACGTAGTAAGTGTAGTAATAAAAAAATTGTAGGTCGTAATGTCGCGGCCGACGTAATAGACCTCTGCGTATTATTGATTGCTCTATGGTAGGGGCTATCATTTTGTCGTAAATGCAGGGCATAAAGGGTTTAAACGAACCTTCATTCCACTGTAAAAAACAAATGTCTACGAGTAGAATTTATTGCGCGTTCTTTCTGCATCCCTCGAATATTCTGAACGCACACGAGCAATGACATTTTATGCAGCAAGTTGAGATCATATTGCGTTCGCGTTTAGAAATAGCGTACTTTGCCAATTCGAAGAAGTACAAAACAAGTTCAGGAGCATCTTTTTTCTTTATGCCACAGGGTAAAAAATGATTTTAAAATAATTTTACTTTTATTATATTTTTCCTGTCAATAGTAATAAAGTTAACGTTGTAATGACAAACTTGATACACGTGGTTTTCTACGATTAAAAAAATGCCGTATTGAGTATATGTTCCACGTAAATCGAGGGGCAGTGGGCATCTCATCGTGACCTAACTAAAGAAAGATTCCTTAAGTGTTCATTGTAAATTCAACGATAATAAGTTAACAAGATTGAAAGATATTGTGGTTATTATTATTTAGATTATAACATATATTATATAGAAACTTAGTTTTCAATGAACTATATATGTATACAGAATATACCTGATGAATACCCATGCATAAGTAGAAACGGTAATTAATGAACAGACACGTTAGTCAAATCGTACACAATTGCACGTATACTCTCAATCACAAGTATTAGAACATTTAAGTAATATGCAATAAATGTTACAAGGCATTATGAAATTGTTGAAACTCGGAAATAAATATCGTATAAGTTGTATCAAATCCAGATAAACAACGCTTCTCCAACTGTAAAGAAACAAACGTGTCCCAAAACATAATTTTTACGACACAGCATATTTTCTTTATACAGAGCAGGTGTCCTAATACTGTACGAAAAAATGTTATTCCGCACTTTTGACCTATTCCTGCAAAACCAACCACCTCCTTCGTGCATTTCCTATAAAAAAAGCACTTGTTTATTGAAACACCCACAGCCGCCAACTTCATACAAACGAAAAGCAATCATCACGCCTGACATTCTTCGAGATTCGAAAATCTCGTTTCATCGTCGACGATCCACCGACTCGGTGAAGCACCCGAAAGGGTCCGCGAAATTGTGCAAATACCATGCGAAGTTGCTTACTGTTATTAGGAATTTCCTTGTCTCATTACAGACGCGTGCTTAAACGCCTCTCGGTCTTCTCCGCACAATTCCGTCGGAATCAAGGCGTAGCTTGTCCTCCGTGCCGCCCCCTTCCTCCTTTGGCATCGTCTACGCCACCCCTTTTCACCCCCCCCCCCCCCATCTCATGGCCTCGTAACTTACCTTGTACCTGCACTTAGAATCTCAACACCGCCTGCAATTCCAGGAATTAGGAAACTCTTGGCCCGTAACTCGATTGGAGTGTGCATTCGAATTCGCGCATTCCATCCCCCGTGACCACCCCCCATACCCTCCACTCGACAACCCTACACCGTTTCCGTTCGCACGCGTGCAATCGCACGACTCGATGCGTTGTACGAAACCGGCGCTTGTTGCACCGACAACCGGAAAGATTAGCACCACGCGTCGAGAACAGCACCACTTTCCCGCTAATTCTCGTCTAGGAGGTCCTGTTCCCCAAACTTTCCGCCTCACACCGCCCCTCATCCCTCGACGACTGCTGGGTTAGACGCTGATGGTTCGGCGAAACGGCGCTAATGGTCGGATCAGTGGAGCACGTTTCGTGGCGGGGAATTCGATGGCGATAGGGTGTACAAAAGCTGAACTTGTTTTCAGATAGGATTTCTGTAAGTAGGTCGTTTGTTTATGGGGATTTGCAAATTTTTGGTCAACTCTTTTTTTTCATGATTTTTCAAGGTTACCTTCAATTTTTTGCAAATACACATATAATTTTCGTACGACTATCTGTTATAGAATTTCAAGACAAATTCGGTAAGTATCGTAACATAACATGTGTTACTTTTTTTTTCATCTGGGTCGAGAAAAGATTAAAGAAATATTCGAACTGTAATATTACAATGAGTATCGTATGCCACGCTATTGAACGCGTACTGTTTGTAAACATTTCGTCCTGTACATTGGAACACATCTAATGATATCTACTGATCACGATTCCTGGTTCACCCTGTATAAATTTGACTAACAAAGTTATTCCACGTTCATTCAAAATCATATCCTCCTGCATATAAAGGACACCGTGTGCTTAAAGTGAAACAAAAAATGATTGGAACACTTCAAAGTGTAGAGACGAGATTTTGTTCTGGTCACTCGCTAATGGGCGCCGCGGGAACGACGATCAATAAAGTTAAAGCTTAATGCAGATACGCGTCGTTGGAAGCGAAATAATTATCACGACGCGGCGCTCATTAATGGCCGCCGTCGCGTGTACGTTTGTTCATACCCTCGTGAAACGTCATCCCGAAGAGGGTTGAAGACCGTTCGCGTCGATCGATCCCTGTGTTCGCCGTTTTGTCAACAGGCACGGTGAATTTATCGTTGGAAATCCGTCGACTTCCACGGGGGATTCTCCACGCGGCGCCGGAACGGGGAACGTCGCCGGTTGCTTGACT